GACTGTCAATCCGATGGATATTGTCAATGTTATTATGGATGGAGCGACAAGACGTGTGATACACCTACCATGTGTGTGTTAATTCTTGAAGGAGATGCTGGGTAAGAATTTTTGTAGACAAATTTGTTGTACGCCATTTTTTTAATTAGTAATATATAGTTTTAGGGAAGTCAATGAAATGCTACAAAATGATAAAATATTCGAATCTCCATGGAATGGACCAACGTGTGATGACAGCTGTTTGGAAAATATTGACAATGAAACTCTGTGCTATAATGATACGACGCATGCAATTCCACGTGTGGCATGTTTCTTAAGGCCTGGTACGTTCCCATTCTGATTATTGTAATAGTTTGAAATTAATTATATCACGGTTTACAGATTCAAGGTGCAAATTTTTAGATCTGAATGCTGCTAGTTTGTTGCGCAATTCCACAGTTATAGGAACTAGTGGTGCAATACTTGTATTAATCTTGGGATCAGCATTGGGCTTAGTAATTTTTTTGAAATACAAGAAAAACACTAATGGTTGGGAGGTTTATCTGGTATACACAAAACTACTATCATCTATAAATACTGTTAATAATCTTTTTCTATTTTTCAGACGTGTCAGTAATCATTAACCGTGACTTATTGCATACGTTGTTGGAAGAAGACAGTGGCTATGAACCCCACGAAGAAACCATCAATTAAAACTATTATTCCTTTATGACGATTTGACGATCCCCTGAATTTTGCACGTGGAAACATTCAATACTGGAACTTGCTCGTGATTCTATGGTGCCTTCAAGTTTAGATGCAGTAATGGCTGTGCAAATGGACACTGCGTAGGAACTGAACAATGCAACTGCAATCCTGGTCTCTCAAAGGATCCTTAGACTCAGATTCACGTAGCTGGCTGCAAGATATCTTGCTTAAATGCAGTATAAACTGAACCTAACACCTGTACCTGCAAGAATCGCTCTTACCAAATCCTAAAGCCCTGACTAAGAGCTTGGTTACGTTGGAGATTGTACCAACGGAATCTGCTTTGGACCAAATATCAGCATCAGCAACGCTGACTTTATAAAAGATCCTAGTATTAAGAGTAGCCATCACTGCGTTCCCCGTACCAGAATCTTATGCAAAAAAATCACGCTGTATGCACTCCCTATAACATAATGTGAATAAATCTGCTTTAGATTATACAATAAATTGAAACGTATATATTATCACTCATTGTGCTTATTCGCTTGTCTTAGACGTCTTGAAATTATTTCAGATAGAAAAAGAGTCTTGGAGCATTTGCCATGTTCTGACCAGGTCCTGCTAACTGTCCTTACTAGTTTTCAATGGAAAAACTGAGGGAGCCCTTGCGAGACACGTGGCGCAATAGTAGCTGGCTACGAATTGTTTAATTTTTCTATATGATCCCAAATTTCAAAAAAATTTCATCAAACATTCCAGAAAAAATAGTCAAACGTAAAACTGATGTAATGAAATAATTTTATAATTAAAACAAATGTAAAATAATAGGGCGCTTCTGTTACTGGTGTCATATGGACTCATTTTATTGCGATGCTGACAGCAGAATCCGTACTTGCGATTCTCGGGACGCTCGAAGTGACTTTATGTAAAGGATGATTCAATTTCGTGATAAGTGATTGATAGCTGTTTTCATTGATGTCATATTTTTTCCTTTAGGAGGATCCTGCATCCTGTCTCAGTGATAAGACGGAATCATTGAGGGCGGAGATACAATGCAATACACTAACAAAGATTTAACCAGCATTTGGAATCTGTCTAGCGTCCAGTTGTCTCTCAGGCAAAAGCTTAAAAATGTTATTTAAATATTCGCTCCTGGCAATTGTCATTTTAAGTGAATTTTTTAACGGCACGAGTGCACTTACTACTGCAGATGGATCCAACATTTGTCATGATGTATACGGGTATGTACAGTCGGTCCATGATTTCAATGTGGTTTTTTGAAAGTTCCCAAAAAATGCGATCCTTAGCGAATCGTGGCTCCGCATACAATTTCTGTTACAAGGTATGTATGTGCAAGATTTTGCAGTGAATAATATTTTATTTTTCTAATTAACATTATCTATTGGAATGCCACGTGTAATTTGCTGAGGACTGTACTGCTTGCGAAATGTCAAAAAAATCACATTGAAATCGTGAAGCGATTATACGTTTCATATTTCAATCACTATATAGAATCACGAACAATACTAAATAATTGCAATCCATTAGTTTCGCCAGTTCAAAACTCCGTAAGCGATATTTTTCAATTTTGCAGAGTTTACGAAACTCAATATGTTTCGTACAGAGAGAGTTACAGAAAAGGATGGCTTTTCAAACGCGTAAAATGGCGAACAAACTACAGAGTAGAGGTAAGCTCTCACAGTACGAATTTTTTACATTATAGACTTCTTAACGTGCTAACTGCATAATTTTTAAAATTACATTATTCTACCAGTACGTAAGAGTCTACAAGACCAAAGAAAAATGCTGCGATGGTTATGAGGATGTTGAATCAGTCTGCCTGAGAATATGCAATGGAGGATATCAGCTTGATTCGAACAAAATTCAATGCGAGCCCATTTGCGATCCTGTCTGTCGAAACGGAAGCTGCACGTCACCAAACACCTGCACGTGCAACAACGGCTATGAAAGAAGCACAACGCAGCCCAACGTTTGTGTTCCCGTGTGCGACAGACCCTGCATTAATGCAGATTGCGTAGCTCCAGATCAGTGTCAATGTCACACAGGGTATAGTAAGAGTGATGATGACTTTTCCTGTGCGCCGCAGTGCACCGACGGTTGTATTCAAGGTACCTGCATAGCTCCTGGTATTTGCAACTGCAATGATGGTTACCAGAAAAGTGGAATTCTGAACAATTACTGCGATCCTATCTGCCAGGAGACTTGTGTTCATGGAACATGTGTTTCACCGAATGTGTGTTCGTGCCTCGATGGATATTTCCAAATTTCATCCACCGCGTGTGCGCCGTTGTGCGATAACGGATGTCCCAATGGAGAGTGCATAGAGCCGAATGTGTGCAGGTGCAACGATGGGTACGTTGAGAATCCAATATCCAATGGAATTTGTGAACCAGTCTGTACAAAACCTTGCGAAAATGGGATTTGCACAGAACCGGATACCTGCCAGTGCAACCTTGGTTTCAGACTACACGAGGCAGAATGGAATATTTGCGATCCATTTTGTTCGTATTTCTGTGTCAATGGACATTGTGTTGCACCTGAGACCTGTGCATGTGACGATGGATACAGGATGACTGATGTTGAAAATATGTGCGAGCCCATTTGCGAAAATTGCAGTAATGGACACTGCACGGAGCCAAATATCTGCACGTGCAACAACGGCTATGAAAAAAGCACAACGCAGCCCAACGCTTGTATTCCCGTGTGCGACAGACCCTGCGTAAATGCAGATTGCGTAGCACCAGATCAGTGTCAATGTCACATAGGGTATAGTAAGAGCGATGATGACTTTTCTTGTGCGCCGCAGTGCACCGATGGTTGCATTCGAGGTACCTGCACGGCTCCAAATATTTGCACCTGCGATGATGGCTACGTAAGCCTTGAACTTTCGAACAGTATCTGCTTTCCTATCTGCCATGAGACTTGTGTTAATGGAACATGTATTGCACCGGATGAATGTTCTTGCGACTTTGGATATTACCAAATTTCATCCACCACGTGTGCACCGTTGTGCGATAACGGATGTCCCGATGGAGAGTGCATATATCCGAATGTGTGCAGGTGCAACGATGGGTACGTTGAGGATCCAATATCGAGTGAAATTTGTACACCAATTTGTACGAAGCCTTGT